CAATGAGGGCCAGCGCCAGAGCGAAGGTGGTGGCCGGCACGGTGACCCCTCCCGGCACAGCGACGGCCGCCACGGCGACGTCCATCGCCACAGCGAGGGCCGGCACTTCACCGACTTGCCGGGCGGCAACCGCAACAACGGTGACGGCAGGATCAGCAGCGAGGGGAGGAACAGCGAGAGCAGGAACGGAGAGAGCAGGAAGGAGGCCAACAGCCGAGACAAGACAGATGGTTTTGCTGTCCCAGAGCCCCCAAAGCGGAAGAAGAGCCGGTGGGACAGTTAAAAGCTGGGGTTCACAGGCTGGAGGCTCTGCAGGTAGTGTTGTCGTTTTCCAGAAGATTTCTTGGGGTTTTTGGTAACTGGTTGTTGAGCAGCTGGGACAGGAAAAGGAAACCATGAGAACCCCTGTGCAAGTTCATCTGCGGACAGATTCACCCGAACAAAATGCACACAACACTTAGTGAAAGAAATGATTTTGATTGGGTTCTGCTTTGAAACATTCAGTGCTTGAGTGACTGCTGGATTTCAACAGATCTTCTTGACAAAAAAGCTGTTTCACATCCCTGGAACGTTAAGAAACTGTTGTCCATAGAAGTATAAATTAGTCTTTTCTTAACCAGCGTTCACATTTACAAACCAGTCCAGTCCACCTAGAGATGCTCAGGACCTGCCTGTTAGACATTAATCTTGCAGCAGTTTGGTCAGTATGGTGAGTTCTTCCTCCATCTCCTTTTCACATAATCTCCCCAAATTGTTTGGTTACCCCTTACCTCTCTCCCCATCAACTAAGAATGTATCAATTTGCTTTGCTGAAGGTGGGGCAGAGCAAGTTGGTTTCACTTTTTTGTTTTTTTTTTTTTGTTTGTTTGTTTGTTTGTTTGGTGTGAATGGAGCTGTTCAAGGGATCCTTCTCCATCCCAGCAAACCACAAATTCATTTGTAGTGTAGGTTGGACTCCCTGTTTTGTTTGTGGTTAGTAGTTTAATTCCAATCCCATTGCCCAGATATTATTTTTTTTTGGAAGAACCTTATGTTTTCTAATATCCTTCATTCTGGTGGAAGCCTGCATAGCAAACCCGTGTCTCTGCTGTGCCTATGCACCCTCTGTTCTGAGAGGGTTGAGTGCTTTCTTCAAACTAAAAGCAAAAAAGGGAAGGCAATGTAGATAGACCACAACAATCAGAGGCTGGAGCCCCCCAAGAAGTGTGGCTAAAGGAAGAAGATTCAGAAATTCAGGGATCTGTTGCTCAGAAGCCCTTAGGGAGAACTCAGAGAACAATTAATGAAAAGAAACAGCTCAAATCTGGCCCTATTTTGGACACATGTAGTAAATCTGTAAAATCTCGCTTACCCATTTTTAACTCGTGTGTATTCCCATTTTATAACTTCTTTTTTTTTTCTTTTTTTTCTTTTTTTTTTTTTTTTTTTTTTTTTTTTTTTTTTTTTTTTTTTTTTTTTTGCCACAAGGTAGGGAAGGACTTTTCAGTTGGGACATGTCAGCACCCACCGCTGGCTCGTTTCCACTGGAAGATGTACCAGAAGCTGTCAGGGTTTTGTGACATTGTGATGTTTTCTTTATCAGCTGTGCATTTACTTTCTGCTTGCTCTAGTAAATGTTTTATTACTGGTACAAAAATATGCAAGCATGTGCTTTTTATTCTCCTGTTCCTTTGGCTGCCCTGATGTGCAAATGGAGAACTGACAGCCTGGAGATCCCACTGTGTCTGTCTCACCAGAAGTTGTGGATTGCAGTTGATAAAATACTTCCTGTGGTTTTTCTTAGTATCTTTCACCCCAAAATGTTTCACAAACTCTGTTTGAACTTCAAGGTCTCCTGGGGAATACATTTTCCTTCACTTATAAGAGGAAAAGATACAGCCCAGGACATGTGGGACATCATCCCAGCTTTTTGTGGGGTCATGGGCATACCTGGAAAGAGAGCTCAGCAGCAGCCCCAAGAGCTGACTGACACCTGAACTGGCTACAGTTCAGATACCACATGATTATTTGGGCCCCCTCAGAACCCAGCTCTGATCTGCTGGAGTTTTTTAAAACAGCTTCCAGAATTCCCTCTCCACAGTCTGAGCAGGAATTGTTGCCCTGGTTTGAGCTCTGCACATTCGGTGTGAAGACAAGGGTGTTTCAGGGCAGACTGGCAGGGCTTTACAAGCTGTTGTGTTCCCCTTCTCACCCTGAAGGTTCATTGCTGCAATTAAAGATTGGAGTTTCAAAACAAAATGTAAAAATAGCCCCATAGTCTGAGCTGCCATCTGCTCCCTCCCTTCCCAGATCCCAGCCCACTGCTGCTGGGAACCTGTGAGGCATATGCTGGGGGTTCTCCCCTTCTTGTTAACACTTCCCTCTGCTCCTTGTAGGATTATTGGAATTCCTCACCCCTCTCCCACCTACCAGGAGCCTCTTGGCAAGCGAGTGGTCAAATATTGATCAGTGGCAGGGAGCCACAAATGTCAGCTTGCAGGGCTGTGTGAGGTCTGTGGGAGGGCTGGTTCCATGACCTCGGAACAAGGAAGCAGTGTAAGCAGCATTCCAGCTGCCCTGGGAGGGGATCTGTCCCTGGATCTGTGCTGGTGTCTTCCAAAGAGACAAATTCCTTCCAAGAGATGATTTTAAACTGCATCCTCGAGCCCTTCCCTTGCCTGACACAGCTCCTGGATGTTTGTCCCTTAAGTTCCCATATGGTGAGTGCACCATAGCTTCTCACTGGAAGATAGGGAATGCACACAGTTATTTACTTGCTCCCTGTCTTTAGCAAGAAATTCCTGCCTTGAGGAGCTGTGTGGGAAGAAGATGCTCTGTGTACCACCAGCATGCTGTTTCATTCATTGCTGTCTACACAGCTCCTTGGGAATGCCTTTTCCCTCAGGCCAGGAGCTTTCCGAGGCAGGGCAGGGGGATGCTGGGGCTCCTGTCCGTGGCAGGGGCAGAGGGAGAGCACACCTGGCTGGGGCCAGGGTTCCAGCCTTTCCCCCACTGTCGGCTCCGGGCTGGAATGGAAGAGTGGAAACAAGCCAGGCAGACTCTCTTTATTCACTTCTTAGCCTGCAGTGAGCTGACAGGACCACAACAGTTGCATGCAGGGGCCTTTGTGATAATGGATGAAGTGTTGGGGATTCAAGTGTTCCCTGCACCCTTGCAGGCCATAAAATTTGTCCTGCCTCCTTCATCCCACCCTGTCCCAGTGCCTCCTGCTCCAGTCTGTGGTTGTGTGTTGGTGTTCACTCCATCCACAAGCGGCAGAGGATGAGGGAGGGCAGGGTGAGCTGCAGAGCAGCCCCACAGGCACTCTGTGCTCCCCCGGCTGGACAAGGCCAGAGCTGGTGCTGGGCAGGAGAGTCCGAGGCAGCATCGGGCTCACGGATGGGCTTCACCCGCCCTGGAGAGGTCACCTCCCCCTTGTGGGGTAGGAGCAAGCACGGTGGCGTTTCCTGGTGAAGAGGCACAGCTTTGCAAGCACAGAGATCACATCAGTCACTTGCCCTGGAGGAGAATGAGGTTTTATGGCTTGGTTTTGGGCCGGGGTGGAGCAGGAGCGAGAGGACGTGGAGCGGCGTTGTTCCAGTGCTGTCCCAGCCCTGGCTCTCCATGCAAGTGTAAGCAGAGCCCGACATGTGAGGATCAGCATCTCTTCAGGCACATCTGCATGCCCAGGTGGGAAATCCACCCTCCGCCTCACAGCATCGTCTCCAGCTCCTTGTTGGGCTTGGCCTGACATGGAGTCAGCTCTGTCAAATCCACCGTGTTTTCTCCCCAGGCTTTCTGGCTCAGTTCCTGCGCGGGGCAGGGCAGGAGCTGGTCCGAGCCGGGGATGTACCCGGGCAGGTGGGGCCGGGCCGGGAGCAGCAGCCCCCGGGCGCCCCCCGCTCCGCGCCCTGCCAGGCTGGTGCTGCGGCTCTGGGGGGCCCGGGCGCCCTGCCCGGCGCAGCAGCAGCTCCCGGGGCGCGCCCGCTGCCCCAGGCGCAGCGCCAGGAGCCTGCGGACGTGAGCCTTCTTGATCTCGGCCTGCACCTGAGAGAGCAGAGGGGGCTGCTGTGCCCAGAGACAGAAAAACAGCCTTGCCTTGCCCTCCTCCCTTCCCTTTTGCCTCCCTTTCCCTTTTCCCTTACCTCCCTTTCCCTTTTTCCTATTCTTTCCCTCCAAGTCCTATTGAGAAGGATGGATCTGAGCGTTTCACTCTGGCTATCACAGCCTGGGACTGCAAGTTTGCCTTCCCTGGTTCCAAAGGGGCTGGAACAGGGAGCTGAGCTCCTCACTCTCCCCACTTACCTCCCCATTGCAAAAGCAGTAAATAAAAGCCACAAAGAAACCCTGCCAAGAGACCAAAAGACATGGAGTTAGGTCCCTGAGCCTCCCTGGATGAACATCCCTCAATGCTGGGAGCAGTCCCGTGCCAACCCACCTGGGAGGAGTTAAAAAGCATCTCATAGTGCATCTGGATCTGCCATAGGAGCCCGGAGACCTCGGTGTAGGGCATGGCCATGAACACCACGTAGTGGACTCCGAAAAGCGGCATCAGCACCAGCGTGGACTTGAGCAGCTTCCTGAAAGGAGAGACCTGAGCTGTTCCCAGGGCCTGCGGGGCACACCCGGCCCTGCAGGGTCTGCCTGGGGTGGGAGCAGGAAGAGCTCAGAACTCCAGAGCCAGGCCTCAGGCCAGCCGAGCTGCCAGAGGAGCTGGCTGCCACTGTCCTGCTACCCTTCCTCACTCCTCCAGCCCTTCCCACACCTCTGCTCCTCGTCCACAATCTCAGGGAGCTGTCCTGGTGGACGGGCAGGACACGGGGCTTTGGTGCTGCCAGCACTTGCCTGTACTGCTGCCGGGGATCCAGCTTGCCCGTGGTGGTCTCCCAGAGCTTGGAGGCCAACACCCGGATGATGTTGAGGAAGAGGAAGAAGTTCACCTGCCAACAGACACCCAGGGCGGTGATGGTGCCCACTGTGAGCTGGGCTCTGCCTGAGGAGCCCTTGGGGACACAGGCAGCTCTGGGTGAGGTGCAGGGACATGGCAGTGATGCTGTGGTCAGAGCGGGAGGGACCAGAGCCCCTGGATCCCTCTGGGCTCTCCCTGGGTGCCGGAGGGGCCAGGACAAAACTCCAGTGACCTCAGGCAAACAGCTCTGGTCTCTAGCAATCCTCTTTCCCTAAAAGGAATTGGGAGGTTCATCCACAGGATTCTTACCACTACTGCAGCCAGGATGGGGACCTGATAAATCCATTTCATGTTCCCTGCACTGAGGTCCCAGCACCTGAGAAGACCAGTAAAGAAACTCCTTGGAGAAACCTGACACCAGTGGGAAGGATGGCTCCCTGTACCCCCAACCACCCCAGCACCCCCAGCTCCCACTCTCCACCCCCTTGGTGGGCTTTGTGTAAATCTGGAGCTGTAGCTACAAGCATTTGTAGCCGTCATGGTGGGGCAAAGCAGGTTTAAATGATCATTAATGTTCCTGAGGGCTCCTTGGCCACCTCATCCCAAACTCCTGTTGTTCATATGATGGCCTTTCTCCTTTTAAAATGCCTCACTCCAGAATGTGCCCTTTAGCGTCCATCTCTGTGCTGTTTATTGATCAATTTATGCTGCAAACCTGCATCCACCGTCCTCCCAAACGCAGAACAAATTCACTATCGCTCTGCATTACTGACAATTCTATGAACAAGCCTTGAATGTGTGTTCCCTCCTGTTGTTCTTTTTGGACAATTTTCATTTCCAAATAGCTCTGGTGCCCACAGATACTTTGCTGGCATTCGCAGCCACTCTTCCTCTCCCAAAGGCCCTGGCGAAGGTGGGTGTACATACTGTGTGTCTGCCAGCGAGGCCCTGACGCTGGCCCAGATAGACACAAACACAGCAGGGAGACCTAAAAGGGCAGGGACAGAGTGAGGAGCAGGGTTGAAGCATCACCTTTGCAGACCAAACTAGTTCCTGCATCCCACTGCCCTTCCCTGGGCACTCGGTGCTGCTCAGCCATGGCCACAGCTCCCGGCTGCTCTGCGGGACCACGGGGGGCTGGGGTCTGTGCTCACCCCAGCCGATGATGATGAGGACCCACAGGTAGTTCTTGTTGGAGAGGAAGGCCATGAAGATCAGGCTGTGCAGGTAGAGACCTTCCACCAAGATCCAGTAGTGGTTGGTGGCCAGAAAATAGAGGAAGAGAGTCACCACCACCTTGCAGCCAATCTGTGGGCACATGGAGATTCCTGTGTCAGGCTGGTCCCCAAAAGCAAAACCTGGTGGCTTTTGCTTTCTGGTCACCAAAACTCAGCTGTGCCCCATGTTCTCCTTGCAGGGACCTGCATCTTCCTTCCCATAGGGCAGGTATTCCCTGTACACAGGCCAAGGTACTCTGTGGCTCTGGTCTCTAGTGTGGCACCAGGACAGGGAGGAGCTGAGCAGAGCCAAAGGTGGACCTTCGTCCCCTCTCCCTGAGCAGCACAGCCCTAGGGAGGATCCCAAGCACATCCCCTTGCATCAGGACTCCTAAATCCCCCTTTCCCCATCCACCACTTACCAGGTGGCCCCGTTGTCCTGGCAAGGGACCCCTGAAATCATCCTCCCGCATCCTGTCGGCGTCGCTGGGCGCCGTGGCCGAGTAGAGCACCATGTCCTTGAGGAAGATGCTGAGGGCCCGGCAGATGAAGGAGGTGAAGAGGTGCACGTGGATGTAATTCCGTGTGCAGTGCAGGCGCCTGTGGAGAAGGGATGTGACAGGAACAAACCCCAGCTGCCCAACCAACTCACCACACTTGGGCTCAGGGAATGGGGGCTCTCAGAGTGGGCTGTGGGGTGTCTGGGCACAGAAACCAGATCTGGGAGCAGGTGGGGTGCCCACACTGTCCAAGAGCAGGGTGGAGCAGATCAGGAGCTGGTCACACTGCGGGTGTTCAGGGCTTTGGGAAATTGGCTGATGTTTGTGCTGGGTCTGGGGTTGTTCCCATTCCTTTGGGGGCTGCCCCCTCCCCAGGCTCGTGTGTGGACAATGGGATGAGTTCCTGTTCTCCACATGGGAGGGGCTTTGGCCTCTCCTTACTTGAAGTAGGAGAGGATGCAGACAGCAACAATAAGGGAGGCCAGGGAGATGGAGTAGCCCACGGTGTACATGAGGTGCAGGCGGTCAAACACCTCCTGGAAGAGAAGGACTGAGGTCCACCTCCCTGCCGGAGCACAGGGGGAGCAGGACTGGTTTGAGGAGCAGAGAGGGAAGAGCCCCTGCCCCCAGCACTTCCCCTGGCCTTTGCTTCATCCTCCCCTGGCCCCCCTCCACGCCCCTTGCCCAGTGCCTCTGACAGACAAGGTCACCTTCTGGTGGCTCCGGCTCTCGGAGGAGAAGAGCAGGGCACACTCCGTGTAGTTGGCCCAGGTCTTGTTGATGCTGAGAGCCATGGCCCAGGTCCCATAGGCACTGCAGTACCTGTAGGCGTGACCTGGGAACAGCAACGAGCACTGTGGCAGCAGCAGGACCCGTGGGAAGCCCAGACTTGTCCCTGCTCCGTGGATTGTCACCAGGGTGAGGTCGCTCTCTGCCCAGGTACAAGGCTTGCCTTTGTGGTTGAAGTCGTAGATGTAGTCGGGGCAGGGCACTGACACTTCCTGGCTGGGGGAGCCCCTTGGCCAGCAGATGATCCCATCCCACTCTGGAGGGCAGCTGGGGTCTGGCCAAAGAGCAAAGACACATCTCACATCTCTAGTCAGGGCCTCAGCATAACCTCTGGCTTCCCCAGGTGTGTGCTGGACCAGAAAGAGGAAAACACTGCCTCAGATCCCCCTGGGCTGCAGGGAGGGAGAAGCTGAAGGGGGCCCGGGAAGGGGATACATCCCACCTCTTCCAGATGGGGCAAAGCCCCTTCACAGCTCTTGTTTGTGGTGCACATGGAGCTGTCTGGAAAATGCTGGAGCCAGATGGTGCCATGAGCTCCACAAACCCCGGGAGCTGGGTGTCCTCAGCCCCATCCTGCCCCAACAGAGAGGACAGCATTCCCCAGCTCCACCAGAGCTGGCTCACAGGGGAGGGACAATACCTTTGATCTTCTCCAGCTGGGCCTTTATGTCCCTCTGACACTTTTCCTTGGCCTCCACCAGGAGATAGATCTGCTCTTCTTTCGTGAGAACATCATCGGGATCCACCTGCCCAGACAAAACCCAAGTGACACCCCCTAGGCTCAAGTCATGGCAAGGCTATGCTCTCCCAACCCTCTCCAGGAGAGTCAGGTTTGGGTGCCTTTGGGTAGATTCAACAACACAGGGAAGAAAAAAGCTCTTCCTGCATTCCTGCTCTCATTTTTCCCTCTTCCAAGGCTGATGCTGATCCCAAGCCCCTTCCCACCCTCTCTATGGTCATTTCTGCTCATGGTTTTGTGCAGAAATCAGTGGCCTGTTGGGCTCCTGCCCAGCTTCCTGTCACCCACCACCAGCAGTGCTGGGTGTCCCTGTTGCCCATGCTGAGCTCTCCAGGCCAGGTGTGGTACCCCCTGGGTAAAATGCCCGACCAGGGCTCAGCAAAGCAGGCACAGCCCAGTGCCCGGAGCAGACAGTGCAGCCCACGGCACCTTCAGCCTCCCCAGCACACCACGTGTGCAAAGGTCCTTAGGGGTGCTTTGGGCTAAGATGCTTGAAGGAGTTTAGAGCCAGGATGGGGACACAGCTTTGGACATGAACAGGAGCTGGGATGCAGAAGGGTCACTTTCCCCAGACTGCCTGCAGTGAGCACAGCCCAACCTGGCCCCAGAGAGGAGATCCAGCACTCCCATCCATGCTCTTCCCCAAAGCAGCATCTGGGTGGATGAATGGGGGGCTGGTCAGGGATGTGGGCAGGAGTGGGATCCTGGGGGTGCATCAGCAGGACAGGGGCCTGGCTGCGGGGGTCTCAGTGGCCGTGCCCAGCTCTGCCCTCCAGCCCTTCCCTCACTGCCCGTAATCCGCGCTCTGCTCCCCCCGGCGCCTCCGAGGCACTGACCCCTGCCCTGGATGTGTCCAAGAAATGGAAAAGCCATCACGCTGCAGTGCCCCCACGGCTGCTGGAAAGCTTTTAGCGGGAGTGGAGGTGCTCTCCCCTCCTGCCCAGCAGCTCTGCAGAGCGGGATGTGAGTCGGGAGCACAGCCAGCCCTGCCCGGGCCAGCGGCAACATTTAAAGGCAGGAGAGGGACGGGAGGAGCCGCGGGGCCACGCAGACTTACCAGAGCCCACGCCGAGCTCAGGAGGCAGCAGCAGAGGAGAGTCACCATGATACCTCCCACAGGGCCAGATGCCTTCATGGTGCCACCGTGTCACTCGGATGGGGACTTCAGGGACCAGAATCGCTGCCAGTGGTGGAGAGGGCTGGCGTGTTCAGCAGGACAGAGCATCTTCTGGGAGCACCTTGCTGGCTGCCAGCCCCACTGAGGTGAGGTGGCAGTGGGGGCACAGCCCGTCCCTGGGGATCAGGGCTGGGTGAGGTCCCTGTCCCTGTGGGATCCCTAGAGGGATCTGCTCACAGGCTCTCCAGGCAGGGGGGTTTCTCCCCCCACCATGTTTGATCCTATTCTCTCTTTGTGTCTTGCCCGCTTTAAGCAGCTCTGGGAGCGTGTGCAAACAATTCTCGTTCGGATGGAGATGGCAGAGGTTTATTGGCTTAGCCCAAGGTGCTAAAATCCTCTTCATTCAAGGCAGATTCCTCTTCTCTTTTCAGAAACTTCTCTCACTGCCTGGTGGCTCATTTTTCAACTGTCACAGGATTCCCCCACTGCCCCCACGCTCCTAAGTCCCTTCTAGCCCCAGACTGGTCCCAAGTAGCTGGAGGAAGGTGGGGAAAATCCAGCGAGGTGGCTGGAGGCAGGGAGGCAGAGGGTGCAAGCACGTGAGCAGCACCTCGAGCTGATGCTCCTGCGATGGGATGTCTTTCAGGCAGACTCCAGTTTAACCCTTTTCCTTCTCCGGGGATGGGATTGTTTTGGGGAGATACGCTGGGATCTGTCCTGCTCTCTCAGGCACCCACAGTGACTTCAGGATACGTCTGCATTCAATCTGCTCAGGAGGGGGGCTGGAGGCTCCATCCTGGGGCAGGGGTTTGGAGGGAGCAGCCACCTGGATGGGGTCCTACACTGTCTCTGGGTCAGGTCAGAGCTGGTCTCACTGCAGCTGTCACCATCCCGTGTCACCTGCATCCCCCTGGCATGGCCCCAGGGCTGTCTCCTGCCTTTCAGGGTTGTGCTTGCTCCCACCACCCAGCCAGTTCCAATACCTTGTGACCCCCAGCAGCCTGAGCGTCCCCCTGGGGAAATGGGGCACAAAGAGGGGAGCCCTCTTTCCCCAGGCAGGTTGTCGTTAGTGGGATGAGGCTGGAATTCAACAGCCCAGTGCCAAATCCCTGGAACAGCAGCTCCCAGCCTGGGCCCCTCCCCTGGCGCATATAATCCATGTCCAGACACAGCTCTCGCTGCCTCTGTGAGTGCCCCAATCCTGCACAGAGCAGCAGAGCCCCCGGAGCCTTCCTTGGGGTTTTCCTGGCCAGGCAGCTCACTCTGGTCCCAGCCATAGCCCCTGATACTGCAGGACAAGGGTCAGAGTCCTGCTGAGCTCCGGGTGAGGGAGGCCCAGGGAACACCACAAGCCCCAGGGACAGGGCTCAGGAGGGGCTGCTGCTCCTGCTGATGGAATCAGACAGCAAACAAGCCCCATGAAGGCCATCAGCTGCAAATCAAGGAGGGACTGGGGACATAGTCTGCAGCTGCCTGTCTCCACTGCCCGAGCCATGGCGTGGGTGTGACACCAGCTCTGCCAGCGGCTCCTGGGGAGCTGCACAGGCACGGAGGGCGAGCAAGGGATAAACAGTCAGACTGCACATGAATGTTTTCTGAAGGCTCTGCTGGGTCTAATTTCTGACCCAGAAGCTGCTGGGGAGTGAAGATGGAGTTAAGGTGAGGTTATTTTACAGTCGATGGATGCTGACTGGGAGGCAGCTCAGGGGCAATTTGATTCCCTTGATTTCCCAGGTGACACCTGACCCAGGCTCTGAGTTCACACTTAGCAAAACATGTTGAGTTTTTTGCTAAATGACTCGTTTTGTTCTAGAGAGCTCTGGAAAGCAATGATTGCAGATGACACCCACCCAGTCCCTGCTAGCAATGAGGAGATGATGGCACACAGAGAATTCCCAGGAGTTTGTGGCTGCTCCCTTCTCCGGAATGACCCCCGTAACTCCTTCACCCTGGTGCCCCACACATCTTGTTAGAGTTGATGATTCAGAATATCTCAGTAAAACCCTCAAGCCCCATTTTCTGGGATGCTGAACTTCAATGAGTTCTGTGCCTTTGTGAGTCTTCAGCTGGGAGAGGAGGGTGAGAGCAGGAGCATCTCCCACCAGAGCCTGCCCAGCACCTGAAGAGGAGCCAAACGGAGACTCCATCTGCCCTGCAGGTTTTGGAGGTGCTTGGGATGGGTGGTGCAAAGCTGGGAAAGATTTGCACTGATGAATTCAGTTGTGTCTTTGGCCATCATTTCCATTTCCTCATTAGCCACCCTGAGGGAGGTGAGCACCTACACTGGTCTTTTCCAGGGCACAAGCTCAGCCCTGGGGAGAGACTGGGACAAAGCAGACCCTGAGCATGAGGCCAAGGGAGCGTTCAGGCAGTTGTGAGCTCCTTTGAAGCAGCATTTGGTAAATCCTGGTCTTAAAAGGGCTCTGCAGTGCTGGCCCTCGCAGCCTGCCTGCAAGCAGGCGCATTTCGCCGTGGGTATCACGGCAGGTTTATCAGCCATCCTGTTGCTATTTTCTTGCCTGGCCCCCGTGGCCATTTGTGTTTAGGTCTCAGCGATCATTTATCAAGCAGCCCCCATGCAGCCCACCCGGTGCAGGTGCTGGAGGGGGACATGTCCCCCCTTGTACAGCTGGGGGGGGCGGCTGGTGGCTCCGCGGAGCCAGGAGCCGATGACAATGGGCAATTGTCAAATTGGGGCCCCTCTCGTTTGAGTTTTCTTCCTTTTATAGTAAGTAGCAGTTGCTCCAGCAGCTGGCCTGCCCCTGCAGGGTGAGCACTGGGCTCCGTATATAAGGGAAGGAGCAGCCTTTGCCTTTCATCCCTCGCTCGCTTCCCTCGCTGGGCGGCAGGACTCATCCCGCACCTCCGCAAAGCCCAGCGCGATGCCGCTCAAGAAACCCGAGCCGAGGAAGGAAGCAGCCAAAGCAGCTCCAGGCTCGGAGCCTGCCTTCGATCCCAAGAGCGTGAAGGTGAGTGAGGAATGAAGACGTCACGGTGCTTCTCTGTGCCTGTCATCTGCCAGGCACAGGCGACGCAAAGCGCTCTGCAAATTACATTAGCCAGGCTGGCAGCCAGCCTTGGGAGGGGAAAATTATCCAATTGTGTGGATGCAGCAGGCTGGGAGTGGTGCTGTCCTCGCTGGGGAGATGTGTCCGTGCTGCCCAGCCCACCCTGCCCAGCACTCACTGGAGTGAACGAGGACGCCGCTCCCCGAGCTGCGGCTGCAGAGTCGAACCCCCAGCTCCTGCTGAGACCCCGTGTCAGGGTCAGGAGGGTCAGCTTTTATTGCCTCAGGAGCAATACAAAGCTTCTCTGCCACCCACTGTCTCCATCCTGAAGTATTTTGTTGCCTGTGTTGCCTCCTCCACATAAGAGCATCCTTTATCCAACAGCTCCACAACAGGAGCTCACATTTTCCATGATTCCTCAGTATACTTACATTTTTAAGCCATAGCTATGGCAGGAGAGTTATGAAGAGCAGGCTCAGCATAGAGACTGTTTAATCACTTGAACTTGGGATCGGGCCCTAAAATAACATCCTTTCGACCCAAAATAGTCTTGACTGTGGTTCTGAGCATCCCTCCTGCCTGCCCACCCTGCTGCTGCCAGCTGTGCTCTCCCCAGGAATGTCAGCTCCACAGTGAGGGCAGAAGCAGTCGGGGACTCAGCACAGCCAGACCTGGCATAGATACAGGACATGGATACGGCCCCCTGCCCCGAGCTTGGGGAGGGAGAGGTCCAGAGAGGAGAGTTCCTTTGCTCTCTTCAGCAGCAATCCATACCTCATGCCCAGCTCTGCTTCCTTCTCTTTACAGATTGAATTCACAGCAGAGCAGATTGAAGGTAAGTGCAGATTTAGCTTCTCTCAGAGATGTCTTTAGAAATGGGGAATCCTTTTTCCAGGTAGTTTTTCACCACAGACATAAGAGCCAAGGCCCCACACATTAAATCCCCTCTTTGGGTGAAAGGCCAACAGGATCCAGAGCTGGCAAGTAAAAGGTATTTTTCATTCATGGTGTGAGATGCAGCCTGGGTCAAAGTCAGGGCTTCTGGTGGGAGGAACAGCCTCTGGCAACATAGGGACAGCCCCAGAGAGTGGAGATCTGAGTGGAAAAGGGGATAAGTACAGATGTCCTGCAGCAAAGCCAGCTGCTGAGAGTGCAGGGATTCAGCAGGTCACCCAGCCAGCTCTGCAGAGGTGACAAAACCTGCCCGAGCAGCCAAGCAGCTCGTCTGAGGAGTCTGGCAAACCTCAGGCCACATTGCGCAAGCTCACTCCGGGCTGCCATGCATTCAGAGGGCAGGACGTGCGTGTGTCCCTTGTCCCTTCCCTGCCTGCCAGGCACAACTGCTGCTTCCCTGGGGTGGGGATGGGGCCGTGCTGCTTCCCTGGGGTGGGGATGGGGCCGCTCCGAGCTCTTCCTCCCTGCAGAGTTCAGAGAAGCCTTTGGGCTCTTCGACCGGACGCCTGCAGGGACGATGCAGATCAGCTACGGACAGTGCGGGGACGTCCTCCGGGCGCTCGGCCACAACCCCACCAACGCAGAGGTCCTCAAGGTGCTGGGCAAGCCCAAAGCAGAAGGTGACAGCAAGCCGGGGACAGGGTGGGACAAGCAATTCCTGTGCTCCCTGTCAGCAAGTAGAGGGTTACGTTCCCTGTAGGAAGAACCCTGCAAGGTGAAGGAACTGGGAAGGAAATCATGCAGACAGGCTTCATTCCTGTGTAATTCCTTCATTCTCCTTCCCCATACCATGGATGATGACATGCAGGATAAGCAGCCCTCACATAGGAATGGTGGCAAGTGATGCTTAGCAGGCTTTATTCTGAACTGGTGCAAACTGGTACAACCAGGCCAGTCCCAGTGCGACCACATTACTGTGGTGATAGACGACCCACCTCATGCTTTAGTTTTGGGCCAATATCAGGGGTCTCTGTGCAGTCTCCTGATGCTAAATACTTCATTCCTTACATGGCTCTTCCAGTCTCAAGTCTAATACAATAGTTTTGTCTGCTCACGGGGCTTCTCCTTTGCACTCTGATGGAAAAGAGACCAAGAGAGTTAATCAGGAGACCCTCAGAGGCTGAATTTAGCCCTGTGAAGGTTAATGTCTGACCCCATCTCCTCCTCTTCCAGAAATGAACACAAAGATGCTGGACTTTGAGACCTTCCTCCCCATCCTGCAGCACTTCACTCGCAACAAGGAGCAGGGCACCTTCGAGGACTTTGTGGAAGGGCTGCGTGTCTTCGACAAGGAGGGCAACGGGATGGTCATGGGAGCCGAGCTGCGCCATGTGCTGGTCACGCTGGGTACGGCTGGCCCGGGGCTGCTGGGGGAGCAAGGCATGGGCCGAGCTCTTTCTGGGCAAGTGGCTCAGGTAGCTGGCTGGTCCCACGTATCGCAGGGGCCCTTTTCACTCTGCTCTTTACAGGCTCTTTCAGGAGTCAATAGTCCTGCATGTGTGGCCATTTCCACCTCGTGCCACAGCTTCATGCATGACTCAGGCAAGAAGGAGACTCCAGGACATCCTCAGTTATCAGACAACAGTTGCAGTGTAGTCCTCTCTCCTCCATCTCCCAACAGCATTCATCAGTAGTGGCACACAGCTCTTCCCTAATCCCCTTCTCCTCCCTCTGGTGTCTCTGCTTATCTGGAAGAAGGACAGGAAGGTCCTGGCAGGCTGAAAACCCTTCCCCTCACCTCTCCATCCTCCTCCTCCAGGAGAGAAGATGACAGAAAGCGAGGTGGAGCAGCTCATGGCAGGGCAGGAGGATGCCAATGGCTGTATCAACTATGAAGGTAAGAGCAGGAGATTCCCATCGTGGCCATCTCAGACGTGGCTGTCTTGTCTTAGGATGCAAAATGCATCCTCTGCAAGGGCTGTTTGGACTTGATGTTCTTAATGGTCTTTTCTAACCTTAATGATTCCATGATTCTATAACACTGGTGATCACTGGGAGGGAGGTGTGGACCACCCTCCAAAGCCTTTCCAAAAAAGCACTGAGACATGTAACAAGGGGTGAGAACAAGGTGGTTGTGCCAGTGATTTCCAGGAAAAGCAGCTGAAGACAGCATGTTTCCAAGGAGTTCAGGGCTGTTTTATCCACAGTTTTGGCACTGTTTTGTTGCAATCTATTGAAAATAAACAAAGCCAGCATCTTTCCCAGCAGAGGCTAATTGGGAACATTTGGAGACCTGGATCACTCGCTGCTCCAAGAGGGTGAAAATCTGGAATAGGAGGTGGTTAAATTTAGGAACCCCTAAAATTGGAGAGCAGTGAGGAAAAGTGGGGACACATTTCCCTTGGCCTCAGAAAAATTGGGGTAATGGTACTGGCTCATCTCCAAGGGTTGGCATCACTCTGACCAGGTTGGGGATGGCATGCAAAAAGTGGGAACAGAAAGGGGAATATTAGTCCTGGCACAGCATCCCCTTCATCCCTGGAGCATCCAGGCTGGGGGTCCCCCCTGCTGCCTCTCCAGCTGCTCCTCCCAGCTCCCAGCATGTCCTGACCCCTCACGCTCTCATTTCTCCTCAGCTTTTGTCAAGCACATCATGTCTGGCTGAAACAAGAAACTTCAGGTGAGTTCAGTGGTGTCTCCTGCTGCTCACTCCAAAATTGGAAATCCTGCAAGTAACAGCCAGGGGCAGGGAAGTCAAACCCCAAACCTGCAGTGGACTAACGCCACAGGAATAATCCCAGCTCTGAAGGCACAGAAGTTATGTTGATGATAAGGAATTTCATTAGTAACTCCTGCCAATTAAAATGTATCAGGACAGCATCACAACTATGATGGTCCTTTGTGGTCTGGGTAATTGGACAGAGTCTCTGCTTGGAAAGAAAGAGGTGGTTTATGGTGCCAGATTTTTGAACCTGCCCATAAGTGAGGGGGTCAAGAGCAGCCACTGAAAATCAATATTTTTAAACATGCATCAGTGAATGACTCAATGCTAAGAAAATATTTAGTACTTAGAGAGGAAATTTCCAAAATGAGAAATATCAACATTCCCATTAATGTTACAAAGAATAAGGAAAATGTACCACAGATTTTCTTAAACTTTTTCACATTCCTAAAGATCTGCCTGAGGAAAACAGAGAAACATTGCCAAGGGGATCAGGTTAAGTTTCTTTGAGGTTGAATTATCCCTCTAAAATGTATTAAATTGAAAAGAAAATCCAAATTGCTGCCTGGCCCCAGCTTCCCCGCCAATTTCTTATTATTTCATTATCTATTTACTTTTCTAAACATTTCTCCTATCCCTCAGCTATGTAAAAGGCATGAGGCTGGGGGGGTGGGGCAGGGGGGGAAGTAAAAATGACCTCCAGATAGTGCTAAATACAGAAATTAAACATTTAAAAATCTCTTCCCTCACAAAATCTCTTTCAGCATCAGAAGTTTAAAATGCAGACAGACGGAAGTCTGAACTTTGAATGCTCAGCATCCTTTTTATCTCCTTTTTAATCCATTTCTTTCTGGTTCCTGTTCATCAGCTCAGCAACATAGATGGTTGGGTGGCAAAGTCTGACAGAAGATTTAATTCTTCATATAACTATTTGCATATAAAGCTCTTTTAAATGGTGTTGAATTACAGCTTTTGACATTTTGGGTTCATCTGAGAAAGAGTATTCTGAATGCTCTCATCCCAAAGATTCTTTGGATTCAGACCTCTCCCACTTATCTCCCAGGCTCTCAGAAATGCTTGGACCCACCTGAGCACCATGAAGAGCAAGACTCCTCCATGCATGTCCTTTCCCTGGGATGTTTTGCCTAAAGCAAAACACACACCACGTGTGTGTACCTGAGCCTGGTACTCAGTGCATCTGCAACTAGGTTTTAAACCTCAAGTTACTCTTTTCAGGTTTTCTCTGTGACATTTGTCTCATTAAATTTTATTCCTTTCTCCCTTAAATGGTTTGTCTGCCTTGGCTTGGGGCTACTTGTTGATACGGTGGGTGGAGGAGACCCCTTGGTCTCCACCAGCTCTCAGAGGTAACAGGGTATTTCCACGGAGAGGGGGAAAAGGCAGGGAATGAAAAGGAAGAGTTCAGACTTGTAAGTGAGGATCATCAATGCACTGCTTGTCCCAGTCAGGAAAGGCCCTTAAAACCCCCAAAACATCAGAAAAGCATGAAAAACATTCTTTGTTCTGTATCAATGAGACATCCAAAAGTCTAGTTTTGAAGGTTTTCAGCAAGTTGACTCCTGCTGAATCAGCAAGGGAGAAGAAAAATGGGGAAAGAAGAGATCCAGGCCCAGCCAAACTGGGCCAGGTCCACCCTCATGGCATGGGGTGAGGGCCCATGGGCTGTGGGTAATGTCCTGCCTGGGATGGGCTCCCTGGACAGTTCTTCTCCAGGCAGATGGTTCCAGCCAGGAGCTCTCAGGGGGCTGTGTGATACAAGCTGGTGGCTCTCTGCCTCTTCTTACCTGCAAAGCAATCTTCAGAGCATCACGACAAGCGGTGAATAATTCATGACACATAACTCAGCCTTCCCATCAGCAGAACACCTGGGAGCAGCAAACACTTTCCTTTGATTTGTTCCTTATTCCAATGTCCTCACTCTGTCTTTGACTAGAAATCGAAGGCATTTTGCTCTGACATGTTGACTTTGCTCGTTCCTGTGCAGTGGCTGAGTAACAGCTGCTTTCAATTCCCACTGTTTGATTCTCCTGCTCATAAAAAGCAACACAAGCTGTTTATAGATGCAAGATTAGATTTGAGCAGCTCTTTGTGCTATTCCTACAGCTTCCATTGGGCAGGATCTGGGCACCTCATGTTTTTAATGCACTCTGTGCTTTAACCTCCTAGAGGACCGTGGTGATGGGGCCAGAAGGGAGCCTGCTTGCTGCACGCTCCGGGGTCACGTCTGTCCTTGTCACTGCTGTGGCACTGACTCCTGCAGCAGAACGTGCTGTGGTAGAGAGGAACTGAGCAGAGGAGAGGTGGAAATCCACAGCAGGGACTGGGGGCCCTGGAGCTGTGATATCCCTGCTATAGCAATGATATCCCTGCTGTAGCCACGATATTCCCGTGTAGCCACCATATCCTACTAGCCTTGATATCCCTGCTAGGCGTGATATTCCCGCTACAGCTGTGATACCCCTGCCCTGCAAGCCAAGAGGCTGCACTCTCACTCCTCTGTGCAAATCTTGTGTTTGAGCCCCCAGCTTCCATGGTGAAAGCAGTAACACAATTAAAACCAAAGTGAGACCTGCAAAGACACAGGAAGCAAGCAGTGGGAAATGACAGAACTACAGGAAAAGAGGGAAGAGCCAGCCACACTTTAGGGATCTGTTGTGTCTCTTTATAAAGCAGAGCTGGCTTAGCAAAGCAGGCTGGAATGATGCACTTGAACAGGCTCAGTGTGTACGTCTGTACCTCTGCTTGTGCCTCCATGCCTCTTCCCCTGGCAAGGCTGCTCCCCTCCTCTGGAAAAGCTGAGGATTCCACAGAGAAAGCAGCTTTAGTCCCATGGACATTTATAAAAGCATCTGTGGGTGCCAGTGGGTGACCCCACAGGCAGAACTGCACTGTAGGACTGAGGAGTCTCTGTAAATCCAAATCTCCAAAGACAACAGCAAATGCTGACCTTTTACAGTTTGGATGTTTTACATGAATTCCAGGGGACTCTGAGGAGAGGTACAAGGAGCCCCCACGCTCTGGAGAGTCTGTATCTCCTCAGGCTTGATAAGACAGCTTCTCATACCAAAGAAGGTCTGGATGTCAGTTCTGTGCCCTGGGGAATGGGAGAGACAGATGGAGCCAGCTTTCATCCCCAGGAGGAGTTATCTGTAGTGCATGAGATCAGGAGGAGGGTGAATATGGACTGTGCTCCTTGAAAAGCTCCTTCCTGGAGCCCCAGACCACGTACACACACCACCATCATCACCATCAGCAAGTGAGGCCAAAGGCCTTCAGAGGAGGAGACACTTCATGTTGCTGTCACCCTCCTTTTGTCTGGCAAAATGACTTGGATCGACCTGATTAGGAAACCAGGTGTCCATCCCAGGGGACAGCACTACCCTGCAGTTAAAATTTATTTGTCTCAGGTGAAGGATTGAAGAAAGCTTTGCCTGCTCACACCCTGAGTGCAAACACCCGCAGATCTGCTGCCAATACCAAATTTGTAAGTACACCTTCCAGAAGTGCAGGGGAAGAGGGGAAGAGGGCAGGCTGACCCCTCCTGCTCCACACACAGCTTTTGTTCTCAAATAAAGATACAGCCCCTGCCCACGCGTGTTCGGCAGCACATCAGGATCTGACCAAAGCCCTGAGCAGAGTCTGAGTTAGGTGTGTGTGCATCGGGGTTACGGCAAGCCCACAGCAGGATTTGGGCAAGGAAGGCCTCTGCTAGCTGCAGGCAGCTATTGATAGGTCAGTATATTTAATAAATTGGGGTTTACTTGTACATCTTTATTCCATTCTTTTGCTAAAGCTTTGTGTGTCAGATACTGTAACGGGCAAATTACCTGCTTTGTGGTCTGCCAGTTTTACTCCTGGATATGAGGACATCGGGAGGAATTTCTTCACAGAATGTTGTTAAACTCTGGAAGGGGCTGCCCAGGGAGATGTCCAAGGAACGACGGGAGGGGCACTCAGTGCTCTGGCCTATGGCCAAGGCGGCTCGATGGTTTGGGAGGTGTTTCTCAACATGACCCTGCGATTTCTGATACCGCGGCTGGACGCACCGCGGAGCCCCTCAGCACGGAGCCCTCGGGGACAGAGCCGGGCCGCGCTGGACCCGACACGGGGAGCGGGGACACGGGAGCCGCTGGCCAAACCACGCGCACGCCGGGAGACGCGGGGGTTCGCGACAGAGCTGGGCATCCCCCGAGCCCACCCTGCGGCACCAAGCGCAAGTTCTGCGGGCCACGGGCGCTCCGGGGGACGCGCCACACGCTCGTCCCTCTCCGCTCGGCTCGGCCATCTCCGGCTCGGCTCGGCCATCTCCGCCCCACTTCGGCCATCTCCGCCCCACTTCGGCCATCTCCGGCTCGAGCAGTTTCCTCCCGGCTGCCGAGCGCGCCTTTCCCAGCTGTTTTCCGTCGACGCTCGGCTCTTTCCGCCTCCGCCTTCGGGTATTTCCGGCGGGCGGTTCGGCTATTTCCGCCGCCGGTTCGGGCGGACTCGGCGCCCGCCGGCCTCGCTCGCTCCGGTAACGGTCGGTGCGGGTTCAAATGAGCCGCGGTCGGGCCGGGCCCCGCCGTGACTCGCTCTGAGCCGGGCCGGCACCGGGGCCGCCCCGCTCGGGCTCGGCGACGAGGAGGCGGAGGCCGGGGAGAGCAGGATGACGGTGCTGCAGGAACCCGTCCAGGTACCGACCCCCGGGCGGCTCAGGCCCCAAAGCCTGGCCCGGCCCGGGTTAGGCCGCTCCGGGGCCGGGGCTCCGGGCCGCTCCCGGAGGCCCCTCGGCCGGTGGGCCCGCTGGAGCTGCAGCTCCTCCGCCCTCCTCCTGCCGGAGCCCGCCGAGCTTCCCCTTCCAGCCTCCCTGCCGTCCCCGGGCCGGCCGCGCTCGCCCCTTTGCCCCCGGGGCCCCGGGGGGAGGTGCCGGGGTCCCCGCCGCTCCTCCGCCGACCCGGCTCCGGGAAAGGGCCCCGCCGATCCCCCGGGGGACCTGTTGATACTTCGCTCACCTTTCTGCGTGTGCTGCCGTGTCGTGTTTAAATGCTCGCAGCGTGCTCGGATCCCTCTGTGTCGTGCGAGTGAAGGACGTTCCTTCTGCCCAAGGAGTTGGATTTTTCGGATTAATGGGAGATCTAGGAGAGAAAATAATGTAAATTTCATTTTTCTCTCGTGTTTCAGTCTCACTGCAGTTACTGTGATGGGTTTCCTGTTCTTGAGCTCAGCCTTCCCATCCAAAAGTCGTGATTCACGGAATTAAAAGCTGCTTTTTCTTTCTGCAGTTCCTGTATGCCCATTCTCTAACTATTAATAATCTTCATTAATCAGTCATCTCATTCATATTCCCATTCTTTTTTAAGTCTATTTTTAGCATTTTAGCAGGATGTTTTGGGCTTTTTTTCTAGTTCCTGGCAGCAGTGTCTTGTTGGAGTATGACTGTGTTCTGTGATGAACATAGTGAGAATTCTTGCTTTTGGCTCTTTTCTTTCTAATGAAAAGGTGGAAGGGGAGGAAAGGCTCCTGTGGCAAACCATCCTGCTGACTTGGCCCTGTCTGTGGCGGATGGTGACAATGAGGGCATTCTTGTAGACCAGGGGTTTGTGTCCTTGATGCCACCTCTCTCCTCATCCCCTCTGAGAGCAAGGGTCGTGCAGTGCTGGAAATGCTTTTGGCCACCTGGTCCCTCTCCTGCCGAGGCCATCCTACATCACTGGTGTCAGCTGTCGAGCTGGGCTGGTGGTTTTGCACCAGCTGGGCATTCTAGGAAAACATGGGATTAGAACAGAAAAGGAAGCAAGATCACACTGCAGCGTGAACGAGTGAAGCTGACAGGAAACAATACCAAATGTTTCCAGTGCTGTGCTAACTAGACTGACCAAGTGAAAATGTCCGCTCTCCTGAGTGCTCCCTGATAGAAATGTGGGGCCTTGTGGTAATTCAGCAAGGTGAAGACCGCTCTAATGCTCTGTTCTGCATCATTATGCATCCAAAACGTTCTCCATTCTTAACCTCTTCCCAGCTTGGATGTTTTGATGAGGCTTTGCTATGTTAATATATCTATTTAGATTCTGCTTTTAAATGACAGATCATTCCTTTAGCAGTAGTTCTGCTGCTGTCAGTTTTACTGCTGTTCCTTGCTTACAGGAGTTACTGGTAAGTTTAGGAATTATTTGTGACTGTGTGAAGTCCGTTGCATTTCTGAATTCCCAGTTTAGCTGAAGTCCACATACGTAGCTCTGTTTTTGTAATATTCTTAAATGAAGTGATTGGGAAAGTTGACACTAGTTCTGATTTTTGTCATTGCAGAGATTGTTCCTGTCTATTTGTCTGTTCTCTCCCAGCCTTTCAGATGTCTACAGGGCTCAGCATTCCAGGAAAGAACTGTCATCCTCACATCCTCACAGCTGTGATGTTACTTATTTGTCACAGCGTGACAGATAAATAACAGAATTTGTGTTTGTATGTAGCCTTAGAAATGTTGTGCTTCAATTACATGAAATTCATGCACCAGGAGGCATTCTGGCCACTGGTTAGGTTTTTGCTAACTTTTAAAATTCTTTTCAGTTGAAGAGAGTGCCAGAGTTTACAGCCCTGTGCTGTACTTCCTGATACGGTCAATTTAAAACCCTTCAGCTCCAACATAAATCCATGTGTCCCATGTGCTAAGAAACAGGCTGGATGCCTTCCAAATACTTCTGAAAAACATCTTGGAAAGAAAATGAGCACTTTGCTTGGAATTGAGCTGTTCAAGGTGATCATCTGCTGTGACTCACTGGAATGGTGCTTGAACTTGGCTGCAAACTGCAGGACCAACATGTTCAGTGGGCAGAGTTTGTGTAACTGGGGAATGCAGCACAGCCCATCCTGGAGCTTTCCTCCTCCCTGCCCACCCCGAAGACTGAAATCGTGGCAGAATCTGCTTAGCGTGGCAATATAGGCTAAACAGCTTGGAAAACAATTTCCAAGGTTGTATAACTGTCAGACGAGAACATCTCTTAAGAGCTATTTGGCTTAGATATGAAGTGACACTTGGACAATGCACAGGATTTTCTGGGTAGAAGATGGACCTTTCTGAATCTGATTTTATTTTCCTGCCCCCCTTTCTGAAGTTGCCTTGCTGCAGGGCTGTGTATGGTAGTTTTGGAATTCCCTGTTAATTTTGCATTTCAAATTAATTATTTTTTAAAAGAGTGATTAAGACCTGGAGGTTCATCCTCTCTGCAAGCACACTTGAATAAAATGTGGAAACACTTCCAACTTTTCTCATTCATATGAGGCAGCCCTGAGAACACTGTTCTGTGTGGTTTAGCAGTTGTGTACCACTAGTGCTGTGTATATGCATTGTGCTTCTTCTAGAATAAAATAAATTACTGTGCTATATTGAGATTAATGTTCCTGTCCTAGACGGTGGGCAAGAAATCCTCTTTTTTGAGACACAGTCATGGTTTAGGTATCTGTTCTCATGAACAATTATTGCTGCATAGGTATGGCTGATTCCCTGCTGCCTTCCTTTCTTCTTCCTGCTCTTTTAGGAGAGTGTGTGTGGGGATCCAAACTCCAGCACGGGTCAGTTGAGGGCAGGAGGTATATTTTGGGCTGCAAAATGATAATTGCTAGAGAACAGGAATTCTCCCAGCCCGTTCCTTGCTTTCACTCTGCTCCACAACAGTTGTTATTTGAGCCAGTGTGTAGTCTAACTCTTACAAAGTGCTGTGACATAGCCCCAGATCCTCGTGTCCCCTCTTGGCCTTTGGCAGGATTGTTCCTGGCAGCTTGCTCTGGTTTGAGCAGTCAGGTGACCCTGATTTTCCCACTCCCACCCCCACACCTTTGTTTTGTAAGCTGGCTGAGTTTCAGCCCTGCAAAGACAGGGTTTTTAACCTGCCGCAACTTGGCTGGACTCATCTAAATGTCACTTGTGGCTTGGGGAAGGAAGAGCTGCTTTTGGGAGTGAGAGAAAGGAGACCTTGGGCTGCTCTGGCTTCAGGATGGCTTAAAAGATTGTAACCGTGACCTCCTATCTCCCTGTTTGTCCTGCTCTGTCTGCAGGGCGTGGAACCACCTTCAGCCTGGGATCCGTTCAAGGCAGCAGGGAGGAATCACTTCAGCAGGCTCTGAGGCTCAGTTATCTGAAATATGGAATACACCCAGAGAGAAACAATAGTGTGTTTGTATTGTAATTATCAAACTAAGAGAATTCACTTTTAAATACATCCAAATACTTTCACACAACTTAAAAGCACCTGTTGACTTCTTAAGCATATTCTTGGGATCTACTGATAGGAGAAAACAGATTCTCTGTAGAGATTTGTTTATAATATTCCCTGTAGTACTTGGGAGCCCTGGTGTGTGCTGTTCATGACGGCTGTGTGGGCTTCCTGTGAAGAGAGCTTGCACAGTTTTCACACCCTGTGTTTGTCAAGTTTGTGTTGGAAGAAGTAGCATATGGTACATGTAACTCTGTGAAGTTTGGAATTTTTAAAATTTTTTCTTTAGATTAAATTGGCACTTGCCTTTCCAGCTGGGAATAGCACTGCAGGGCAGTATTGCTTTCCCTGTGGAAGATTTCTTTTAGTTTTGGAGTGTCTCATGTGTTTAAATCAAATTTGATTTGTCTTTGGTTGCTGATGAATATTAGAGAAACTCTAGCTCACAGTGCTTTGAATTCATAAGTTCAGATCTCATTTGGGATCAGTAATAGCAAAACTTCTGCAAAATGGCTCTTTGCTGCTGATGGAAAAGGGCTTTAGAACTGAAGCAAAGATCCCACATGGGAAGGAACTGCTGTCCTGATCCCAGCCCTGCCCACCTTGGAGCAGAAACGCTGATGAGCATGCACAGCACCCTTAGAGTAGGTGGGGAGGAAAGGCTGAACAGATCTTAAACGATTTTTCAAACCCCAGCCTTCTTTTATAGATAACAGACAACTTTTAATACCATCTGAAGAAAGTTGGCCGAGCAGTTTGTGTGAAACCCTCTTATCCCAGGCCTGGACAGCTCTTTTATGTCAGCTACTGGTGACAGCAGTGCAAGTAAATGTCACCTGCTTTGCTGGTGTGCAGGTTGTACACCTGTGTGTGTGTTTGTTCCACTGGAGTTGTGCAATGCTTCCAGTCTGCACGAACATTGCTTGTCACAAACCCAAACTTGGTGCTCATGAGAAAGAAAACAGTACTTGGGAGCAAGGTTTGGCCCGGTGTGAGTGTGTGAGCAGAACCAGAAGGAGGATTGTGTTAATCTGTGGCTGTAGAATACAACTTGTCTGTTCCACTTGCATTGCACTTGTTCTCAGGTGCTGCTGCACAGTTGGTGACAGTGAAGAGGTGGCTGAAAACCCAACGAAGTGCTGCACAAAAAGCACTGGGTCCTGATCACCTTGACCCTTAAGGGAACACTGATGCCTCTTCAGGGAAGATCCTTTATATGAAGATGTTTAATCAACACAAGTCTCCTCTTGAACACTAAGAGGATTCTGGATCTGTTGGGCTTTGGTTTGGCATCTTAGGGAGATGCTTTAATGGGATACTCTGGCCAGCCTGGCTTGGATTTTGGCTTTACCTTTACTGAAGGTGTTGTTGTTTGGTGTTGAGCTGTGCACCAGGCCAAGACTCAGTAATTCCTGAGGAGTTTGGATGATTGTGGCTGGTAACGAGTGAGAAACACCCTAAGGTTGATACATGACTTCAGTGCAGAGTTTAGTGGGGTTTTTAAGCCTCTTTACTAATAGCTGAAACAAATACAACTTGGCTGGCATGTTCATCCTCCCCTTTTGTTTTATGGCTCTATAAAAGCAAGCTGAACTTTGCCTTTTGACAGTAAGAGGTAATGAGTTTTTTGCATTTTCAAAGCTCCCCACTAAACGAAGATGGTTTTCTTGCCTTGCAGGCTGCTATCTGGCAAGCACTGAACCACTACGCGTATCGCGATGCCGTGTTCCTCGCAGAAAGGTTATATGCAGAAGGTGTGTACTTTGCAATTGTAAAGCTGACACTTCTTTTCTATTTTCTTTTGGGATTTGTGAGCCTCTGCTCCTGCTTTGTTTTCCTCCTGTTCTGATAATGAAGTTTAGCTTTCTGCTTGGGGAAGTCAGAGGAATGCCTTGCAACTAGGTTGGAAAATCAAATAATGTAACAGCAGCAATTTTATTTTACAGTAAAATGTCCTTAAAATTAAATTCAGATTTGTGTGTTTAAGTGCAGTGTTTACAGTGATCTGGTTTATGGTATTTAATGGGAGAATGTTGGGGTTTTTTTAATAACCCTCAAGCACTGCATGTCTTCCAAGGACACTTGAGGATAGATGCAGCACACAAATTCTACAAATTGGCTTGACATTGAAAGCTGTCTTTGCTAATAATGCTGCTCAGATATGTTGATTGGCTCAAAGAGAGTCTTGTGATGGTGAGAGAAAAGCACCGTGAAATTGAGACAGTGAGAATCAGAACATATGGAACAGGTGTCTCCTGCTGAATCCCTGCTGATTGTTACTTCATTGTAAAGCTGTCAGGGCTGGGGTGTCTTGGACAGTGAGCAGCAGTAACACAAATTTGTACTTTCTCTGGGTCCTTCAAACACTTTTTTGGTGTTTTCTAGCACCTTTTATTTCGTAAACCTTTTCTCCATGACCTTAGATAAGCTTTTTGTTCTTCTGTACGTCTTTCTCCTTGATACTGGTGTTCAGCTTTCCTTCTTTGTTTTGAAAGGTATTGTTCCCTAGCCACTAACACAAAAAAGCCCTAATCCTTAAGCTAAAATACAAGTGTTGTATAATTTCTCATGCTAAACAACCTGATCTTATAGTTTGAATTAAACTGTATAAGCTATTTCTTACTCTGTTTTGTAATGAAATATTTTGCCTGCCGTGCCTACAATGCAGTTCTTAACAATGGAAGCACAAACCTAAGTTTTGAGGAATAAAGGCTTCTTTTTCCTTGTGTCAAATGGTTACAAATGGAATCTGTGGTGTTTTATCTGATGCTGAAATGAGAAACATTGTGTGGAATATTATGGAACCTGATAATCCAGGTGTTTATGAAGAAAATAGTATTTTAGGGATGACAGAGCTCCCCTGAACACAGCGCACTGTGAGGTGCAGGGAAATGGTAGCTTGAAGGTAATTGCCAAGGGTTTAGGACCAAAGAGAATCCACTTTTTGCAGCAGCCAGGAGAAAAATACCTGACTAGATAGTGACACATCTTTACAGAATAATTCTCTGCAAGAATACTTCAAACAGCCTTTTTCAGTGGCCAGCAGTGCTGAGAGAAAGCAGCATGAATGCTGACACTTGGTGCAAGCAATTAACTGCTAACAAAACATCTGGCTCCTGGTTAAAATAAGCGGTTACACTGCAGAGTGGAAGCTGCAGAACTTGAATACAGTGGCTCCATGTTGGCAGGAGTGATTTCACCCTGAGAAAAACTTCTTTTAAGTCTATCTGCAATTACTGTCCTTGATGGGACATCTGTGGCTTGATCGTTTCCCAGAACTCTCAAAGTCTGTTAAAGTAGTGGATAAAAATTGATTTAGCTTGAGTTTTCAAAAAGGTCTTCTGGTGTTTTTAGGATAAGGTTAATAAAATGTCCTCTGTTTGGGTTTTCTGTTTCCATTGTCACTGTCTGGGTGGTGACAAAAACAAAGTAGTCAGTTTTCAGTGAAGCAAAGGATTTGGGCAGATTCCCAAAGAGGTTTTTATACAGTGCTCATATCGATTTTTCTAAAGATTTCCCTATGGGTGGGTGAACAAACATCAAAATTGTTTATTTAATGCTGAATTCCATTTGCAGGATAATGTCTTCTGAGAAGTATGAAGTTAATGTGGGTTTATTAAGTGGTTGGAGTTTGAAGTTGCTTGTGTTCATACACAGCTTTTGATTTAAAATATCATTGTGTGAGGCTGATTTGAGTGTAACATTTGGGGAAGTACAGAGTGGGTTAAGCCACCATGGATATACAAAATCTGTGAGTTTACAGAAAGGATAAAAATTACTTCAGGGGTTGATTCTGTCCTTTATGGTGTAATCATGAGTGGATCTGACCTCAGTCTCAAACCTGGATGTCAAGTCAAGCTCTTTGAGTAGAACATCCTCGTCGTGGTACATAATTCATTGCAGTGGGAGAAAATTTGGAAACAGACATAAATTCTCAATAGTTCCAGTCTCTGCCATAGGCAAGTGTTTCTGACCTGATCCCTCTTGTTCTCTGTTTAAATGGAAATTACTTTCTTGATGCTTGACTACTTCATCCAGAATTTAGCAACTTGTGAGCTCTCAGCTTGGGAAAAGGATTTATGGAATCACAGAATCCCAGAAAGGCTTGGGTTGGAAGGGACTTGAAAGCCTATGCAGTCTCACCCTGCCATAGGCAGGGACACCTTCTGCTGTCCCAGGTTGTAGGAGAATTTGTCCCTATTGCTAGCTCCCAGCATAAAGCAGACAGAGCATCTGAATGGTGCTGTTAAGCCACATTCCCAATGAAATAATGAGGGTAGGCAGCAGAAAGGACAGGACTCTATGTTGGTGAAGACTGGTAACTGACTGACTTTTATAGTCATTAAAATCAGAAAATCATCTCTGCTAGTCATGTGAAGGTAAGGAAAAAGACTAGTTGAATTAAAAAGACTACTTGGGATTAAAACTGGCTACTTGGGCTGGAATAGATCTTCCTTCTGAAAGTTGTTGTACTTTGTAACAGCCATCCAGTGTTCCACTGTTTATGCACTCCTTAAAGTAGTGCAAAGTGTTGGTGGCAGGTGTGGTGACACTCTGAGCCCAGTCAGTCTTGGTGTGGCCAGCAAGTTGTTAAAGTAGCTCTGGCCTGGCTGCTTTGCTTGGTTTACTGCTGTTCTGACTACAAACTGGCTCATCACTTACTCAGACTGGCTAGCCAGAAGGATCAAAGTTCCTTTAAAGCTGTAGATGTTGACTTCATCTGACTAGCCAAGAAAATGGCACAGGGAGTTTGGTATTCACCAACAGATAAAGAAGACTTCATTCAGGAATGAAGTTCTAATACCAATACCCATTTTCTTCCGTCTTGCCCATAGCTGCCTTTTACTCCCTGGCCCTGAATTTTTTGTACTAAAATGATTAACATCTAACTGATGATTGTGTTTTGCAGTACACTCAGAAGAAGCACTGTTTTTACTGGCAACGTGTTACTACCGCTCAGGAAAGGCCTACAAAGCGTACAGGCTCCTAAAGGGACACAGCTGTACCACCCCACAGTGTAAATACCTGCTTGCAAAATGTTGTGTGGACCTCAGCAAGTAAGTAAATCCTTCATGTTCTGTCCAGGGTTACAAATGGATTTTTGTTTTTTTTTTTGCTTGGATTTCTCTTTGGAAGATGTCATCTTGTGTAAACTAGAAATTCATCGGTCCTTCAGCACAAAAGATTGAGTTCAATTTATTTTGCTTTTAGATATGTATCTAATGAGCATTAACCCATGTTGCAAAACCTTCTAAAAGTTGAGTAGCTTAGACAGGAATTGCCAAGCTGTGCAGAGAGAAAACAGACCTCTTATGAGCTCATTTATACAGCTCTGCCTTATTTTCCTGTGGGGATGGTCTGTGCTGATAAAAGCATACACTTACAAATAAAATTTCAAGTGGTGGCAAGAAAAGATTTTTTTTTTTTGTTCAGGTGTTTGGGCTCAGATGCCTGGAAAATGCCTCCTACCCCAGCAGTTGTATAAAGTAATTCTGAAGCTTGACACTCAGTGATCCATTCCGTGTGAGTGCTGCTCTTCCTGCAGGTGGAGGAGGTACAAATTGAGCCTTTGTTCTCCTTTTGAGCCCTTCTTGCCAGAAAGAAGGGCATTAAAGTCCATGATCTCTGCCCTATCCCAGTATTATATGCTTGAGGGGCCTTACAGATTGTATTTCTTTGGGGAACAAAGCCAGATTAAGTACTGTTTTTGCTTAGATGAAGCACTTTCAAAGATCAAGTGTCTTGATTCTCTTGTCCTTCATGCTAGGATTGATCACTTTTGGAAAAGTCATGCTGAATTTTGTGCCTCTGCTTTTGGGTTTGTTTTGGTTTTCTTCCCTCCCAGTAGAGCTGTCTGACTGCAGAGTCCTGAACCTCCCTGTTGTAGAGGAATCCGTGGGTTACTTAATGTTCATTTGCAGGAGCTGGTTTGTAGTTTAAAACCTGTGAACACTGACAGTGGATTTCTGTTTTTGTTTGCAGCAGGGTGAAAACACTGGACTGCCAGTACTGTGAGCCTTGTAACCCCTTTAAACCTCTTGTTTTTTAAAAAGGCTTGCGGAAGGAGAGCAGATCTTGTCTGGTGGAGTGTTGAATAAACAGAAAAGCCATGATGACATTGTTATGGAGTTTGGTGACTCTGCATGCTTTACACTCTCCTTACTGGGACATGTCTACTGGTAAAGTTGCTTTTACATTTTGCCCAGTAAAGGTGGAAGGTTTTTACTTGACCAAGCCCAGGTTTAGTCAAACATCTCCTTAGTCATTACAGGAGACACCTCTCTCTGGGTTACACCATTTTGGAGCACAATAAATTCAGGTGGATAGTTGTGGAATTAGTCTGATTTGGGAATGGTTAATTTTAATTTTCACCCAAAGACTGAAAACACAAATTCTTCTTTTCTGGGTGGATAAGAATGCAATCCAAAAGTCTGAGATTTTTAGATAGCTTTAGATTTGCTGTGTATTTTTCCCTAAGAAAAACTCTCAGCTTGTTTCTCAGTGTTGCTATTTAGATTTTTACTATCTGTGTTATACACATGTGGCTCTAACCCTCAAATCAAAGTTCTGAGGGTGCCAGGCAGAATAACTTGACAAGTGTAAGTGTTGTGATTTTGCCAAGATGCAAGAAGGGTTTCAGTAAATGGGAATGATTCACTGGAGTAGTTGGGCTCTTGGTTTCTTCTCTACTGTATCTATTCTCAGTTATTTTCAAAATCATTTCTTTGTAGCCAAACACTTAAGTGTTCAATTTAGCTGCTAATTTCTTTGCAAAGATATTATCCATAGATACTTAAGATGGCTGGAAGGCTGGCAATCGGGTTACTGTTGGCAAAAAAAGAAATAAGCTGTTGCAAAGAATGCCTCTTCCTAAAAATGAAAATTCTCAAGCTATTCTAGTGCTTATGTAACTTTTTTTGACAACTGTGTCTAAATATGTCAAGTAACTTCAAAAGAACTCAGTATTTCTTGGGCTTGAAAGATGGGGAATGTTTCTGTGCCTTTCAACATGTTTTTGTTTTTCAACTCCTCTTCTGGAAACCTCTCTTAACAGAAGTTTCCCTGTGATCTGTTTCATTCTTTTTGCAGCAAGACAGACCGGCTTGCCAAAGGATCAGAATGTTACCAAAAGAGCCTTAGTTTAAATCCTTTCCTCTGGTCCCCTTTTGAATCACTATGTGAAATAGGTGAGTCTGCAGAACTGTTTTACTTTTGTAATTCTTGGGAGAGATTTTTGTGAGCAACAATTAATTTAAAATACTTCGCCATTGCTTAAAACTTCTGTCTTGTTTTCCATCTTCATTATTTATACATTTTTGGATCTAACAATCCTAATGTGCTTTCCAGCCTACATTTAGTAGACACTTAGAACCCGTTTCTAAGAATAGCTTGAAAAAACAATATATGAAAATTATTAGAAATATTGATTGTTGGGGGGTTTGTAGCAGAAGAATCAAGAATACTTCTGCTTTAGCACAAAGGGCTCAGAGTGATCTAGTCTAGTGAAGGGTGTCCCTGCTTACTGCAGAGGGTTGGAATGTCATGTTCTTTAAGGTCCCTTCCAACCCAAATGTTCTGTGATTCTATGAAATGCTTTTAAACACTTCTAAAATCCTTTGTCCCCTGTCCTTGATTCAGACTGAATATTCAATGTATAGACCCAGGAATAACTATTAAATCTCTTTCCACTCTTACAGGTGAAAAGCCAGACCCTGACCAAACATTTAAATTAACATCCTTACAGAACTTCAGCAGCTGTCTGCCCAACACTTGCACAACAGTGGTGTCTAATCACAACATATCCCACAGACAGCCCGAGAGCGTCCTCATGGAGACACCCCAGGACACAATTGTGAGTTTTGCTCAAGTAATTGTAAAATCATGTGCTAAAATCAGTTTGCTTGACCAGCTTAACTGAAAAATGTTAATTAAACTGTACCCTGAGTACCTAAGAGCTGCCTTTTATTCTTCAGGAGTTGAACAGAATCAACCTAGAATCCTCCAATTCAAAGTATTCCTCCTTGAATTCGGATTCTTCTATGTCTTACATTGACTCTGCTGTGATTTCCTCGGATTCTGTCCCCCTGGGGTCAGGAACTGCCATATTGTCCAAACAGGCTCAAAATAAACCAAAAACTGGACGGAGTTTACTGGGGGGACCTGCAGCTTTGAGCCCACTAACTCCAAGGTAAGTGCTTGGGATGGCCAAGCTCTGCCCAGGGCTGAGCTGCTGCTGCTGTTCGGCGTTTGGAGCAGCAGGGCTGGAGCTGCACACACACTCAGACACATGTGCTGGTAGAATTTGTGAACAACACTGTACAAGGGAGATCCAAACAACTTCAGGAGCTGATTTTGCTCCTTGTGTAGATCTCTTATTTGGAGAGGAATTGTTGATTCAAGATATTGCTTTATTGCCATGTTCTCACTTGAAAAATCTCTGAAAGAATACGCTACTGCTCTGGAATAAACTTTATTATGAAAGACTACTGTGAAGAACTTTCCTTGAAGTCCAACTCCTGATGATCCTGTAGGTCCCTGCCAGCTCAGGATATTCATGAACT